ATTCTAGTAAAATCTGAACTCTTTCCATCTGCTGTTTCCTGTCTTTGCTGATTATTAATAACTGTTCCAGACCTTGCAGAAAATCAACAAGTAACTGGTCTGATCAATTAATCATAAATTACATACAGTCAGTATAATTTAATTAGACTTTTGTCTTGCGTGTGTCAAACAAAAAACTCAGTTACTAAGATAATGGAGCATCAAAGCTGATTTTAATCTTCGAAGTAATATATTTGAAGAGTTCATTTGCAAAATCAGATAACTCCATTTCTGTAGCTTTTCAGAATTTTTTTTTTTTTTTTTTGCTGTATTGAATGAGATCATATCAATCAAACTGAAGCTGAGTGGATCTGACTCAGTAGAAATGACAACAATAGAGATAACTTCAGTTTGATTGATGTCGTCTCAGGTGGACGATGGAAAAGTGGGTTTTCTGAAGCTTTGTGAAGATGGAGTTATCTGTTTTTTCACCTCTATTTTCTACTTTGATTCTGGACTTAACTTATGTTTGACCAAACGTGTAGTTTGGAGCTGAACAAACATGACATCTGAAAACTAATCAGCAGGTCAGATGATGAGATTGATCATTGTTTTAGTCTGTAAGCTAACAGGTGTAACTACAATAAGTGCTAGAACTTTGAATTACTCTCTGGGAGCGCTGTATTGTACTTTTCACTCCACTGCATCCATTTCATTGTTGTATTTATTCATAAAACAAAATGTAATCAGCAAATACGTGCTATAATGGGTGAAGGGAAGCTGATGCTGCTCACTCACTTTAGAGTTAATGTATTTGGTCCATCGAGCTCTTTAGGGTCCCGAGACTCTCTGAACTCATGCAGCCTCAGAGCAACACCAGGTCCTGCCATCGCTGACCAATCAAGTCCAAATCAACAACCAATACTTGGTCCAACGAGGGTCAACAGCGAGTCCAGACACAGAGACCACAGCAGCTCGAGTCTGACGGCGTCCTGAGAAAGAACCCAGATGAAGATGCATCTGCAGGTGAAATAGTTATTTCTAAAATCCATCATCAGTCAACCGTGTGAACTTGTGACCTTTTCTGATGCCAACCTGAGGACACACGTTAAACTTCAGCCCTTGTGTCAGTTTGGATTCTAATCATTGGTATGTCAGGAGTGTTGTGGCCTCTAGAGGCTGCTAGTGAGAATTACAGTTTAATCATGTGTGGCTCACATGCAGTATATATATATAATTCATTCAAGTCTAGGAGCAGGTAAAACTGAGACAAGCACTCAAACAACTCAAACAGTCACAAACAAACAAAACCTCCAGCAGAAATGCATCAGTTGACATCGACAAGTTCAGCACAAGAGAAAATATTAATACATAATATTAATAACAATATTCTGGGAGGAAAGTAAAGTCAACATGACTATTATCAAATATGTTTTGCTCTAAAATGTCTTCCATGCATCCTAATATCTTTTGCTGTTCTGAAAGCAGCAGAGGAGCAGTCGTACCTGCAGATGAGAGAGACATCACCTGCTAACAGCTGACCTGGACTCTTATGTAGAGAAGGTAACTTGAACAGCTGAGGCGCACCTGATTCTGCACCACTTTATGTCTTCTCTTCTCTTCTCTTCTCTTCTCTTCTCTTCTCTTCTCTTCT